TAGGGGACGTGGAAACGTGTCCGCTCAAATAAAATTATTTGTGGTAATTAGGGGTGAGTATTCCTTTTAATTTTTAATTAATATTTACCACAGTCTCCTCTTTCTAATCTTAAAAATCTGTTTAGCATCTACATACTGAATGTTTCCTAAGAGGTGAAGGGGTGATTCCTGAATTTTTTTGTGAAGAGAAGTTCCTGTAAACGTGCCGAAAAATGCTTCCTGAGGAAGCTACGTTCCTTGAAATGAGTCAACCTGAACACGATTTTGATTGATTTTGAAACCGTGGAATTCCGTAATTCAGTAAACTGCATAAACGTTTGACACTGAATTAGAATATGAGCTCGGAATTTCAAAATTTTAATCAGAAGCGTATCATACTGATTTTTCGTAATAAAATATATTCTGGGTGCACACCAAAGCTAATCGTTTTAAAAAAAAAAATGTAAATGCATTGATGCGAGTCAGTGAGGTTGCTGATAAAATTACAAAAACTATGCATATGTTAGATCACGTCAAAATTTGAATTCTTTGAATATCCCAGAGAAACTTCAAAACTGATTCAACACTTTATTAATGTTTAGATGTTAATAATTTCAAACAAAACACTTCAACATCTTGAGCTATGTTTAATTAATTTTAAGTACAGAAAAAAGTTGCAAAATGGTTACTAAAATGTCCCGTTACAAGTTCGTTCTATGATAAAAAGACAAGGTTCATACATATACAAAGGCTGATTATTCGTAAATACCCAGTGAATTGAATAATTGAATTGCATTGAATGACCTGCTTGAATTGAATGAGTTGAAATTCATGAACTGCTTTCTGACTTAAGTTACATACTTATTTACAATAATTATACTGATGGTTTTGGGCGTATCGCATAAATTTATGAAGGTAATTGCACTTATTTGGGAACCGTTCGTGTGATGTTGATGTCCAGCTGATAAGAAATTCCTAGATGTGCCTATGAATAATGTCCTTTCAAAATGATAATAAAATTTGTACAAACTAATAACTATCATCAACTAATATAAACAGAAAACTTAACTTAAAGGACGTCTTCGTAATATTACAAAATATGTACACTGACTATATGCAATTAACAGAGATCGAACAATGCGATATATCAAATTTCAAAATTCCAGTACAAACGGTTTCGATAATATTCGTATTTAGGATGATAAATTTAATGGGACGTACATAGCTTCCTTATTAGGTAGCATTTGTTAATATTATATAATATTTATNGTATCCTACGCACAGAGACAACTCATAAAAATACGTCAGGAATTACTCCTTCAATTTTTGCCGGGCATTTAGAAAGCATCCATTCTCATTTTGATCATAATTTATTAATGTTATATAATTTACGGCATAGTTTTAATTTAAGAAATTTATTTCCCATGATTACGCGCAATTGACAATATTGTTAATAAATACGATGAAACGTTTATCTATTGTGATATGCTAACTTCAACTTGAGTGAGGTACAGTTTTTAATTACGTTTTCAATTAGGTAATAGGTTAATATTTTTCACAATGTTGCTTTTCAGTACCTTATATTATACATAAGTATACCTAATATTTGTATTTTTGATGAAGTCAGATATGCAAAACGAAACGTTATCTAAGAAATAAAATAATGTCAACTCTTATTATTACTATTATTTTATAGATTAGCTTACTGTTTACAAATAGTTAAGGATGTGGGATGTTCTAGTTTTAGATAAATGCGAAGATTATATCAATATAGTAAAAAATAGAGGTTCCTGCCCAACCAAGCTTAGAGGTAAACCTAGATTAGCTTACTGTTCGGAAATATTTAATGATGTGGGATGTTCTAGTTTTAGGGAAATGCGAAGATTATCTTAGGATAGCAAGGAGTGGAGGTGCGTGTCCAACCAGTCTTAGGACTGACGAATTTATGATGATCGCACCTACCCAATAGTATCTAATAACTAAAAAAATTGTTTAAACAAGGAAAAAATTCCAATGTCAAATAAATTAAAGACTTTTTATTCTATTTTTAATATATGATAATTATCTAGTACTAGAAATGAAAGTAATTAACCGTTTAAAGTGCAATGAGTTGGGTAAAAAACAAGATATTTTACTGAACTATCTAGTAATTTTTTTTTCAAAAAGTAAATAAAATAAATGTAATTTTTTAGTAAACAAACATCGTCGAACATTCTTTTGTACTTATCGCAAAAGAATCTGTTTTGTATAATCATACGTATGGGTAACGGAATGTTATACACATATATGTACAGATACATACATATAATTCATAAATCTCTTATCACAAAATACTATATACATAATGGAAAATATTCATTCTAAATTAAGTAGTGTTTATTGTGTGAACACTTAATTTATTTTCATCTTATTTCTTTGTTTATTTGTTTTTATTGTGAAATAATACTTATCACTGCTCTTCTAATATAAAAGTAGCAAATGTGTAAATTGTTTTAGTTTGGCATAATGGGAAAATATTAATAAAGTGAATTTAATAATAGACATTATCTTACATACCACATTTTTATATTGCTGTTTAATTAATGATTACAACTAACGTAAGTAGAAATTTTCATTTGATACATAAATTAAACTACATTTATAAAATGCTAGGGTCACCAAATTACTACAATTGTATTATTAGCCTATAACTAATATCGAAAATTCATTTTTCTTTTCCTTAAAAGACTTACCTACTAGTCGTGAAAATATTATTAAAACTACTTACAATTACCGTCAATAAGAGAGTATTTTTCTAAGAAACAATTATTGTAATGACTCAATTACCTACCTGTACTATAAAAAATTAATTATCGCCATTTGAAAAATGAATACATTAAACATCTTTGTGCTCAATCTTTTATTATTACAATAATCAATTTTCTCTTTGTATCTTACGAATAATAATGCCGTAAAAGTGTAATTTATACTGCTGTTAAAAATAATAAAATGGTTTGCTAATGTTTGATTCGCCAATAAATAAAACTGAGTGTTTCAATGTGATTTAGTTAATGATTACTACAATAGGTGCTCAATACAGTTTGTCATAGGTACGGGTGATATTTTGATAAAATGATCGAGTATCATTATTAACGGAAATGTGCACAAACTTAGATGACAAATCTAATAATACCATATATATAAAACACTTTGACGTTTAATAGTGGTTGATATCAAATATTAAAGTGAAAATTCATTTTCAATTTTTTACCCACTATAAACTACCTCAGGTTAATGAGGAAAAATTTGTTACTGTTGTCACATCCTCGCCGGGAATCGAACCCAAGAATTTCGAAATCATGTGTTGTATTAAATGTGCAGTGCCTATAAAAGCACTTTTCATTAATTTGCCGATCAAGGTGGCGATAGACGAATGAGTCTTTTTATAATTGCTTCGTACCTTCTCGGTGAGAATTATCGTTTTGCTTTTTTGTAAACAAAAAGAAGGGACTTCGATCGTGTTGTCTTTTCCTAACTTTATGATCCTTATCTAACCGAACCGTAGAATTTGTAATTCAACAAGTAAAGCAAGAAACAAGAAAGAAAGAACTAATAGGTGGGGGTAAAAGTACCGGAAATTATACAACCATTTCAAGGATTTGTAGCAAAAAAAATGATGTAATATATATTTGAGTTTGTTGTCGTTCCTAGATTTTTAACGTTGATTTGAATGACTAAAACTAAACATAAGCAGAAGATTAATCTGTGATTATCCATTAATCTATTGATATCATATCATAATTTATCATATAATTCACTTACAGATTAAGAAGTATTTAAGAAATCATTTCTCAAACAAAATTTGTATATACCCCGCAGCTTTTGAAGATGATTAGTAAGGCGAAACAACTAAGTTCGGCGTTTTAATAAAACTTTATGTAAGTTACTGATATCTCTAATGTGGAAAAATTAGGAAAATAGTACTTACTTTAAACAGATTAGCAATCTCTATACTTTAATTAAAAAGGATTTAATTCTCTGTCAGTAATTTATCGATTTCGATCTTATTTGACCTCATCAGCACGCCATAAGCAGTCCCTATAAATCACCGACCAATCTAAAGATGCGTTATCGAAGTTAAAAGGTCTTAGAAAAGGTCTTTGTCTAACATTTTAAATACTTTAGTTAGGAGTAAATACCAATAGATGACGACATACTCGATATTTTATATTTTAAGCTTTTTACAAATAAATTGAATTTTAGGAAGTAATAAACGAAATGGTGGCAAATATGAACGGAGAAGCTAACGTTTCTAGTTTAGGTATAAAGTATCCTACGCACAGAGACAACCAACTCCACACGGGAGATTTGTGGCTCTTGGGTAAAAAAGAGGACGATGGAGCTGAAAATCTATGGCGGATACATGACAATTTATACGATTTATCAGATTTTGTTAAAAACCATCCAGGAGGCTCAGACTGGCTTGTATGGACAAAAGTAAGACAAAGTTTAAAAAATTATGGGTTACTTATATATGAAAAGGCAATTTTTAATTTGCTTTTTCTCATTAGCATAATAGACACTTCAATCGAAAGTGTTGCTGGTTAATAGTAAGATTAATTTTATCACACACGTATCAGTTATCTATGTTGAAAATTAATTTAGTTTGATAAGTCGACGTCCTTAACAAAAAGACCTAAGTGAACATTAATGACTCCAGAGTTTGTGACAAACTTCTACAAACGGCTTTTATTACGCTCTTTGCGGCTATTTATAGAGAATAAATGGGCGATTTCAACATCGAATATACCGAGCGATGTGACCTAGAGGTTTAGTCCAGCGGTTTTAGTGGCTATGCAACCCTAATTAATTCATCTTTTTCTTTGCGAAACCTCATCTCGGTAATAATTTCATTTTTAAGACTTGTGACTCTTTCACGGAACGCCAGGGTTTCATGGAACACCTTTCAGGAACCGCTGGTTTACACCATAGTATAGAACCTGCCATTCTACAAGTTCTTATATGGTTTCTTTGGATCATTTAAGCAAATGCTGGGGCAGTAATATTCTACAGATAATATCTTTCACTTCTCTTCTGCCTTCATTTCGTCCGCCTCATTTTTGCTTCCTCGACCGGTACTAGCCCATTCCTAAGATTCGTAAAAGGAAACTAAGAGGATCTTCTGCCCTATCTCTCAACATAGTCCGGAGGGATTGCCCGCCCAACAACTTGCAGCTTGTGGTAGTGGGGATAAAGTTTAACGTCAAATAACTCATTGGTTTCTAATAATCACATATTAAACCAAATATGATGTCAAATTGATATCTAATTAATTGAAGGTAAACAATGAGATGTCATAACATTCAAAAATTTGGTTTAACAAGTTAGGTTTCGGTATAGCAATGTGTGTGGGTGTCAATTGATGAAGTTTTGGCTTGATTCAAGTTTTAGTAAAATGATAGCATAACTTCGCTAACCACTTTTGAGCTTTTTGACCACAAATTATCCTGAAGTCACTTTTTTGACACAATTGCCCATTTTTCTCAAGTCATTAGACGGGAGTTTGAGTGAGTTAGCTTTGACCTTCAATCTTTGGGCATGTTCTTTGACGTCTTATTGTTTACAGTTAACTTGTTATCAAAGAGTAGATGATGTTTAGTATCATTTAATTTGTCATATGATTAAAAACTAATGAGTTACAGTTGTATATGAGTTTGAAATTGTCAATTTCATTCTGCTACCCCCTGTAGGTACCTGTTAATAATTCCAGTTAAACTTATAGACTAAATCACATGGTTCTTAAATGTCTGTTATAACTAAAATCCAGTCAAAATTCATGTTCCTATTGATAATTAAGTTTTTTTTTAAACTATAAACTTTCGCTAATACTTCAAATTCCGCATAGATTTAAACTAATTTGTTGAATTACCATCATCATCATCAGTATCATCATAACGTCGCCAGTTCTAAGACTGGTTGGACACGTACCTAGCACCCTTACCTATTGGAGAACATTAATTTAATCTAGGCCTACTTCTACTCCTCTTAACTCCTGTTTCTGTTTCTAGTATGTCTCTAACTAGCCCTTCATGCCGAAGAAGATATCCTACATACCAACCTATCTGGCCTATTTCTTATTGACTGTTCTCCTATTGTTTCTAATACTTCCTTATTTTTTAACTTTCTCTACCTATAACTACGTAATTAAATCGGTTAACTGATACCTAATAGTTAATTTTCATTATTGTTAAAGGCATTGACAATGTAATAAAATTTAGTCTGTAACTGTAGGATTTCTGACAATATTATGTTAGGGTTACAACTAGGTAAATGGTACAAAGCTTTAAGTCTACATTGAGGGATTCATTTCTATCCTTTTTAGGGTACTGATATAACCGAAGCTTTCGAAAGTCACCACTTAACTGAAAATGCTCAAAAGCTGTTGCCGAAATACTTTCTCAAAAAGGCTGCAGTTCCAAGGAATTGTCCGTTTACATTTGAGGACAATGGCTTTTACAGAACCTTGAAAAGACAAGTAGCGGAAGCTCTTCGGAATATTCCAGACACATCCGTTACTAGATCAAAAGTTTTAGCTGATGCTCTTTTATGGGGCTACATATCGTTTGCAATGTTAGCAGCAAATAGAAACAGCTACATATTTGCGGTTATTTCGGGGATATTTTTGGCATTGGTCTCCATAGCTTCACATAACTTTTTTCACCAACGGGATAACATACGGATGTACTATTTTAATTTTACTTTAATGTCTTTCAGGTAAGAGGAGTTCAATAAATAGTAATGGGTTAATAACTGACTTCATCAATCAACACTAGTATAAATTTTAGTATATAATAACATAACCAAAAACAAAAAGAAAATTCGGTCTGGGGGTCTGATTATATATACTGTATGTTTTAAGGATCCCTGAATCCAAATCTGAAGTGAATTACTCCGTCACGTCAGGGCTTGAATATAACCTCAAAAAACATTCCAAAATCCACTAAAACCGTTAATTATGATAATCCCAAACAATTTTAAACGTAAAACCTGTAGCCAATCAACTCTTCCACTAAATGAATAACTTCATAATCCTTTAAACCCCTAACTCTAAAACCTTATAACCCTATATCGAAATACTGAAACAGAATTGTAATTTCCCACCATGAAACTAAAACTATTTGTAACGTCGATTTCGCAATATTAAAGTTACTTCCTCACGGTGGGTAATGTTAATTCTAATGATCCTACACACGAATAGTTTTGCGGTATCATAAATTCCAAAAACATACGAAATACATAGAAAATAGACTCCCAAATAATATAATTCTTTTTGGATCTCATCAGCGCGTCTCAAACAACCCGACAGAACACAGACCAACTTTTAGCTTCTGCCTTAACAGCGCGTTTTAGAAAATACCTCAAATGGCGCGGTAAACGCAATCTATAGTACGATGCTACATTTTAGATTACGTAAGCTCCAACAAGGTCCATTTAAATATATGGATATCTACTTGCTGAAACGAATCCCGGCGTAGCTAACCTCAACGTCTGCGACGCGCTGATGAGATCCAAATATATCGAAATCGCGATCCGCGTCTGGCAGTTTCGACAGAATACAGACCACTTGGAATTATTTTATTCGATTATGGTAACGTCCTTCATAAACTAGCAACGTTAAAAGTGAAACTATTTATAGAACATTTAAATTGTCCACATAGATATAGTTGTCAGTAAAATCTTGGAGATGAACGATATGACGTTACACCACTGGAAAGAATTGGCACAGGAGAAGAACAGATGAAGGAATCCTGTCATATTCAGATAAAATTGGAATAAAGATAGAAAGTCGTTATGATAATATAAATGCATACAAATGTTTCACTTTTAACGTTTTTTTTTGCACCCACACTGACAACTGACAATACCGGAATTGATGTGCAGTTGTCCATCGCGTAGCGGACTCTTGCGTCTGTTATCGGTCATTTTTACTTCATCTATCGTTCTTACTCAACAGGCATAAAAATACAACTTCTTCAGTTATATTTAAAAGGTTACTTAAATTATATACTACAGTGTAAACTCTTTATAACGTCACTCTATTTAGCGACAAACTCCTTAAAACGTCGAAATTGCTTGACTTTGGTTGGTTTACATATAGCGTCACGCTCACTCTATTTAACGACAACAATGCGGCATTATAAATCATTATGCAGTACTTTCTAAGTTGCCGAAATAGATAAGAACTGCAGCTGTGTACGTTGTTGAAGAAGACGATCCTGTCCCTCCACCAAGCATCAAACAAGCACTTGATGCAGCGAAACTATTAAAAAAATACTTTTTATATAATCAAATTCATCCAGCAGTATCTCAAGATATGAGTAAGATACCAGAGCAGCAAAAAACATCAGACGAAGATAACAGGCTATACACAATGTATGAATAATAATGTTCGTGTGCAAAATGTGTACCGTATTGGTAAATGCATATTATTATAGAATAGTAAAATAATATCTTTTATTTCTCTCCATTTAACGAGCACTCTTTATAACGCCGAAAAATGTTAAGTCCCTTAAGTGTCGTTATATAGAGTTTACACTGTATTTATTACACTTAATATATTGTACTTACCATTTTTTATTTACTGGGCATGCTTAGGATACCATCTTGTGAATCTTTTATTAGCACACCTTTCTGGCATTCTTCTTTTTCCTGGAAATATGTTCAAAGTTAATTACTTGTCTTATTATTTAGTTATTTTATTAAAACATTTTTCAGGCAGTGGAGGATAACTCACGTGCTAAGTCATCACCTTTACACAAATACAATAAACGATATCGAAATTTCTACAGTTGAGCCATTTCTTCAGTACCTTCCAGGAGAAAAAAATATAATTTATAAAACGTTGTGTTGGATTTATAGTCCCATAATTTATTCGTTCTTATTTATTGGAAGTCACATACGACTGTAAGTATTATCATTTGTGTCTTCATAGAAAGATGTGTTTTACTTATTAATGAGCAATGAATGTAATTTTAGTAAGATTGTTTCTAGTTGAACAATAAGTAAATTTATAATTTCTACCAGCAAAAAAAAAAATAATTTTGAAGCATCATCATCATAAGATCGTTAGTCCTAAGACCGGTTGAACACGTACCTCTTTCCTATCCTGAACTAATCTTCGCATTTCCCTAAAACTGGAACAACCTACATCCTTAACTATTTGCGAACAGTAATCTAATCTAGGTCTACCTCTACTCCTAGTAACTCCTGTTTCTGCCTTTACTATGTCTCTGACTAAACTTTCAGACCTGTTTTTGACTTCCATAGAGTCCTCTGTTCTCCTATTCTTTCTAATACATTTCGACCGCTTGTAACCTTTGAAGCATACATAGTATTTTTCTTTTTTTTGGGAAAATTATGATACAAACTTAATTAAATCAATTCATTTGGGAGTAAATTTTATCGGCGAATTACGAAATGTAGGTAATTTATTATCGATTGACTGAACGAAATAACCTCTTAAAACACTAGCTGATATAAGATCCAAATTTCTCATAAAAAACTAAAAGCTTCTTATTTTAATTTGAGTAGAGAAGAACAAAAAAAAAACAATAAATTAGTATTGTATCTGTATGTCTCTGTCTAGGATTCAGGTGTCTGCTATATTGAAGCAGCGTTCTACTGTCTTTATATAAATAATAAAAACCTTCTTCTGGCTATGGACAATCAGTCCTTCGAATGTCTGGCACCGTTCATTCATGTTGTAGCATAAGAATAGAAAAATTTTATCAAAAGCCAGACACGAACTAATAAATAATTTAATACACCATGTGTTTTTTGCAGTTTTGAAAATTCATATTTTATTACCCCAGTAAATATACATATAGTTATGCTTTGTATTATAAATATCTAACCTGATCATCGTCTAAAAAATTTTCTTCCTACTTTAGAATTCTTTATAACCTAATATGGAATAGTAAATTCTACTGGGACGACTTTTTACCATATTCCATTCCCTTGCTGATGTATTTGGTTGGCGGAAAAAGTTTAATTCAAATACTTTGTCTATACGCAACTATAGTGGTAGTTGCTAGCATCCATTTCGGAATAGTTGGACTCAATGCTGCCCATCATCATCCAGATATATTCCATGACGGGGATACACCAAGGTGAAAATTACGACTTACTTTACAAGTAGACTCACTAGTATGACCTCTCACAAACCTTACTCCAATAACTAACTCCTCTTTAATAATATATCACAAATGGCGCGGTAAACGCCATCTGTAGTACGATGCTACATTTTAGGATTACGTATGCTCCAAATATATGGATATCTACTTGCTGAAACGAATCCCGGCGTAGCTAACCTCAACGTGATAGGCACGTTACTATAATCGAGTAAAATAATTCGAAGTGGTCTGTATTCTGTCGAAACTGCCACACGCCGATCGCGATTTCGATCTTTTTGGATCTCAACAGCGCGTCGCAGGCAGCTCCGATAGAACACAGACCAACTCAATCGTACTACAGATGGCGTTTACCGCGCCATTCGTGGTATTTTCTAAAACGCACTGTTATGACAGCAGGTAAAAGTTATCCTCTTTAATAGTTTAATATTGTATGTTTTCATTTATAATTTTCAAAACCCTCAATGAGAGAAAGAGATCTTAACTATACAATAAACTTTAGAAGTTAAATTAATTTAGTCTCTAATTGAGGATGAAATCTTGGATGACGAAACGTGCGTTAGGTTTCTAAACGTTTTTATGTGGAATTCTGTTTATTTGTCTTTCATTTAGTTTAGTTGCTCAACACTCCATTTAATTTTTTGTACAAATGGACGAAAATATGATAGTAATGTTTTTTTATAATGTAAATTTTATAATACTTAGGCCAAAAGAAGAACTGGATTGGGGTATTCACCAATTAGATGCTGTAATGGATAGAACTGATATTACAGGTTCACACTTCTTGGTTCTGACAAATTTTGGTGACCATGGTCTCCACCACCTATTTCCTACCATAGATCACGGAAAATTAGAATACTTATATCCGGTTCTTGAAGAAACGTGCAAAAAATTTGGTATAGAGTTACGAATGACCACGCAAATGGACCTAGTCAAAGGACAATTTAAGCAACTTCTCAAAGTGAAACCGAGAAAAAAACCACCAAAGCCGTTGAGTGCAACAAAACTGTGATACACTTAAATTGCCATATTGAATTGAATTGTTTATATTTGTATATATTAATAAGAGAGACAAAATAAAGAACATGCTAGAAAATTGATTTATTGATCAACACTACCTGCATCTTTAATGAAAAATAGAATAGATAATAATATAACTCGCCAGTTACTCAGTTCAATATCAGTAGGCGTAATTGTTTATTGATTCAATCTAACTGAGGCATTGGCTGTTTAAGATTTTACTTAGAGGGTGACAGAACTTATTCGTTATGTATGTACTATTAGTGTTTAAATGATAATGATATACATATACAGGGTGTTTCTGAAATAGGTGTTTAGTATGTCTCTGAAATACGTAGCAAGCTTGCAGGAGGTTAGGTTAGGTTAGGAAAGGACACTAAAAAATTAAGTAAATGTTTGGTGGTCCAAAAGTCAACCGTTTTCGAGAAAGAAGTATGGGAAAGTATAGGGAAAGGATAGTCTGGCCCTGATGTTACTATTTAAATATTGCCAAGAAATTGAATAATATATTTTATCAATCGAATGCTAAGAAAATAATTTATATATGTTTTTAATTGATTTTATTATCACTACATAGTATAAAACAAAGTCGCTTTCCCGCTGTCTGTCCCTATGTATGCATAAATCTTTAAAACTACGCAACGGATTTTAATGCGGTTTTTTTTAAAAGATAGATTGATTCAAGCGGAAGGTTTATATGTATAATACTTGCATAATATATTAGGGAAACACTGATAATTTTAGAGGTTTCTAATATGATGTAAATAAACACATTTTTGCCCTTACATTGCAAACGCTGGCTGAACCCTACGAGATAGATCAAAATAATGTAGTACAATATTGTACATATTAAAAGGGTCTACAAAAAAGTCCGGGATGGTATATGTCTATCTCTGAGGGATAACCCACAATAACCATTTTTATCCTTTACTTTTTATGAGAAATAATGACTTATTTACGAAGCGATTGTAGGCAATACAGCATTAATTCTTATCCAATTAAGTACCTTAAATACATTGTGCATTTAATATAGATCA